TGCTGCAACCACGGCTATTTTGCCTTTCCCTGAACATCAGTTCACCATGCGGATTGTGATGCTTTTGGCGGAACGAGTCAGAAATCAGTGTGGGTTTGAGTGCGGGTTCCATATTTATTTATACAGACAGACTATACACCAGCTTGGCCTTAGCTCAGGAGCTCGCCAAAATAAGAATACACCTAACTGGTACGGTCCTAGGGAATCGACAAGGAAACCCATCTTCTTTTCAAAAGAAAAATATGAAGTCAAACAAGATGCAGTTACATGAAGTGTGTGCCTTTCGACACAAGGATAACGTTTTGGTATTGGCATGGAGGGACCAGAGGGACGTTACCATGCTTAGTACTGTGCATAACCCTTCAGTAGTGGAGATAGTGAGGAATAAAAAAGGAAGCACAGAAAAAGAGAAAGTTTTGAAACCCACAGTCATTATGGACTACAATGAGCGAATGGGTGGGGTTGATGCAGCTGATCACTATATATCGTCGTATATGTTTGTCCGCAAGTCCAAAAAATGGTGGAGAAAAATGTTTTTCTGGTTACTGGAAGTAAGTGTAGTAAACAGTTTTTTACTATACAACATGTATCAACAAAACATTGGAAACAAGTGTTGTGAAACAAAGAAGTTCAGGGAGATGCTGTTGTTACAACTTGTTGGGGACTTCCGCAATCCTAGTGGTAAAAGACGTGGTAGGCCTTCCACAAGCGACAAAGAAGAGAGGCTTAACCAAAAGCCCCACTTCATTGCAAGTTTTCCTGGAGTGAATCAGAAAAAGGACTGTGCTGTATGCAGCAACCGGAAAGTTCCTGGTCAAAGGAGGGAAACTCACTTCTTCTGTGAGACGTGTGAACGCAAACCTGGCCTTCACCCTGGTGAATGCTTCAAGCGGTACCATACCCTCAAAGACTACAAACCCTGGGTAGGTCAATAATTTAAGTAGGCCTATCTAAATATTAGTAATCTAGAATAACCTCAAGGTTCCAAATCAGAAATAATAGATATATTTGATAATTCAGCGTTTTTTTTTATATTTTTTGTTATATGTCGCTAATGAAAATTATATTTTTGGTTTAGTATAACAATTTCGGTGTATTTATATTTTCGGTTTATATGAATAAATAGGCCTACAGATAAATACTGTTTATCTCAGTTTACTAATCCTGTTTGAAAATTACAGGCAAAAGAACTAAGAAACAGAAGTCGCCGTGGAAACCAAAAATTCCAAAAACTCTACATATTTTTTAGAAATTTACATATTTTATTCATAATAATACAAGTAAATGTTTATGTAATTGATATTTTTTGATTGTTTTTACATAAGGAATGTAAATAATATTTTTTCAATACTCTAAAAAAAAGTTTTATATTTTTATTTTGCCAAAATATATGGATTTTGTAAAGATTTATTTTGCTTTTGTTTATTTATGACCATACCAAAAATAAAATTTTAAAACTAAAATTGTAATTTTATGTTTATATTGTATAATAATTTATGCTGAATAAGAATCAATAGCTCAACCTTATTAAATAACTAATAGGCTATTAGATAAAAAAAACACTAAAAACCAAAAACATGCCATTTTTTTTTTAAATTAAATGCAAGTGTGAGGGAACAGCCATGCAAAATAATTCGAGTGGAAAGGGTTAAGCCTATGTTGAACTGGTTTTATAATATTTTTGAATCTTGTGTTATGTGGTTGAGATTGTTGACAGTCCATGAATGTGTCGAAATCACTTTTAACCATTAATGCCAATTTGTAAATATAAGAGCTAAAAAAAGTTAAAATTTTAAAATTAATAAATAAATCTTTACAATGTGTTCTACGGGAGACTCTGGCCATTAATCTTAGAGCTCTTTTTTGGAGAATAAATATTTTTTTGGCCTGGCTTGATGAGCCCCATACAGTAATTCCATAATTCATAATCGATGAAAAATATGCGTGATATACTACTATTTGTGTTTCTAGATTAGTAGTATCCCGAATTATTGTGAGAACAAATGTTGCTGAGCGTAGTCTTTTTGATAGGTTTTTAATGTGTTTTTGCCAATTTAGTTGTGAATCGATTTCTATTCCCAAATAATTTATTGACTGTTGTGAATGAATTGTAGTTAAGCTTGTATTTACAATTATTTCTTGGTTAATATTGGATGCAGAAAACTGAATTAGTTGAGTTTTTGCCACATTCATGGACAGACAATTTACTGCAAACCAATCCCCAAGGAGTTGAAATTCCTTAGTTATTGAGGCTTGAATGAACTCATTGTTTTGTCCTGTGCAAATTAAAGCGGTATCATCTGCGTATTGAAAGGTGGACATCTTAGTAGCATTGCATAGATCATTAACATAAATAATAAATAAACAAGGGCCGAGAATGGAGCCCTGAGGAACTCCATTGGGGTTAATGTTCCACTCTGATTTATAATTTCTCTGCATTTTTTGTAAAATAAGTCTTTGTTTTTGGGTCTTTAAATATGATATGAACCATTTTAATTCAGTATTTTTTTATTCCATGCATACTTAATTTTTCTATGAGTATCTCATGATTCACACAGTCAAAAGCCTTGGATAGGTCACATAGCACACCCACAGTCTTCTGCGATCCATCCAAGGCTTCTGCAATGTAGTTAATCATTTTTGTTATAGATTTTTCAGTACCGAGTTCTGGGCGGAAACCAAACTGTGAAGGATTTATTAAATTGTTGCTTTCTAAATATTCTGTTAGTTGAATCTTTACAATTTTTTCAAAAATCTTTGAAAAACAAGGCAGAAGAGCGATGGGGCGGTAGTTAGAGGGATCGTTGACATCGCCCTCTTTGAACAGAGATTTAATCTCAGCCAACTTGAGCTTATCAGGAAAACCCCCCCCCCCCCCCTCAAGGGACTGATTCACTATTTGGCATAATGGATGTTCTATAAATTTAAAAACTCTTTTAATGACAAAAAGAGGGATTTCATCCCAACCTGAGGACTTAGTGTTACTGAGAGATGTAACAACTTTTCTTAACTCTTCAATTGAAACATTTCTAATTTTAAATGTTAAATTGGAATGTGGATGATTTTGGATTAGTAACTGAGTGGCTTTTAATTTATCTGTTGATTTGTTGGCATACTGAGAAACATTAATAAAAAAGTTATTGAATTTATTTGCTACCAATACTGCACAATTTTGTTTATCCCTTTCATGTTTGAATTTAATCTCAACTGGAGTATCAGATATTTGTTTATTAAGTCCTGTTTCATTTTTCACTACTACCCAAGATGCTTTACTTTTATTCTTAGATTTTTTAATAAAATCGTCATTAGCTTTCAGTTTTGCTAATGCAACTACTTTTTTAAAGACCTCTCTGTAGTTTTTGTAATAGATTAAAAACTGAGGGTTACGATTCCATTTTGATTCTTGGTGCAACTTATTTTTATTTTCTGCTGAAATTTTTATTCCTGTTGTTATCCAGTTATTTTTGTTACGTTTATTCTTTGGACGATCTACTGTTTTGGGGAATGCCTCGTTAAATGAATTTAGAAAGTTTGTAAAAAATTTATTGTAATTTGTATCTACATTAAAGGTTTCAAAAGGGTTCCAAATAACATTATTTAGTGTGTTTTCAAAGGTTTGAAAATTTGTTTCTGTAAACTTCCGAGTAAGTTTTTTATTTACACCCTTAAGTCTTGGAGAGGACATTTTCTCAAATGACAAAAGTAAAACTTTGTGGTCTGATGCACCTATGTCTAAAACTAAACTGCTAGTTTTTTTTTTTTCTGCAAGTTAGAAATAATATTGTCAATGCAAGTACTTGAAATGCTGGTTACCCTAGTTGGAACAAGAACATTAGGTTTGAATCCAAAACAATCACAAATTACTAGTAAATTATCAGTACTTACTTTATTGGTTAATAAATCTATATTTGTGTCTGACATTATAAAAACATTTTTTGACATTGCTTCCAAAGCTATTTTGTCTAATAACATTTCAAACTTTTCTAAAAATATCTTATCTATGTCCCTACCTGGAATCCTGTATACTGAAATAAAAACTGAATTCCAGTCCTTGACTTCAATAAAAAATCCTTCAAAACAACATTGTTAATTTAAAAATTTTAAGTCATTTCTAATTTCAAATGCAACTAAATTCACGGCGTTAAATAATATGGATGTGTCAAGTGTCCCGAACGAATTAACTGACCTGACGATTGTAGAACAAATGTTGATTGCACGAGTACATCCCGCTATGCGCATTCACGTTGAAAGGGAACATATTGTAGGTTGTTAGCTGCTTTAGCCATTGACAATCTTTAAATAATGCTTCGCTCATTTATGCGTCTAAGGTGTAACGGCAGACCACTCTAGTTTAATTTGCTAACAACACATGTTATGATTATTGTTTGTTGTTTATATTTCAGTTGTTACCTAGTTACTTAAATTAAAGGTTGTACATTTTTCTTGTGAAATATTATTTGGCACCGCTACATACAAGTGTATACATTATAGCTCTTAATTAAATAGTGCTGTAAATATGCCAAATGTATTGTTATGTTTCATTAATGACTTGACACAATTCATGTATACAAATGTACTTTTTGAATAAAGGATTTTTTTATTTGATTTTATGGTGTTTGAACAAATATGTTTGGACGATAAGTAACTCTTAAAACTCTTAAGCAGCTAAAATTATCTAAGATGGCCGCCAGCCTCCAATGACTCTTGGGTTGGTGGAAACCAAGAAGAGGTGAAATATTTAGGCCTAGTTTAGGCTGTTATTTTAATAAGAGTTTAGCTATGGTTTCTTGTGAACTGAATAGCTGAAATCGTAGGGTTAAAAAATAGTAGATGCAAATGCCTATTGTTAAAAAATTAACAGATTACTAAACCCAGGTCTTGATCATGATGAATGCAGTAATGGAAGAAATATTGGAGGGGGGTGACATGGGCTGCAAACATTAGGAAAAAATAGGATTAAAAAATAAAGGAAGGGTGGTATTCATTAAAAAAAAACATACCTGAACCCTCTAGACCTTTGACTGCGGGTGTTGAATCGCCCTCGACCTCTTTGAGTTCTGAAGTCATCTCGGTTTCTGTTGAAGCCACCACCTCTAGCTCTAAGACCTGTGAATTTGGAGAAATCAAAATGTAAGATTAAAAAAAAACTAATTAAAAACCATGGCTCTTTGGTAAATTACGTTTAGGTTAGAGCAAATGTGACTATAAAGCACTATTGTTCAATATCATATATTAGTGATGGTCGGATCCGGATATCGGACTACCGGATCCGAGCAGGAACCGGCACCCGATTGGATAAAAAAATTCAGGATCTTGGGCTGGATCCGGTTTTGATGGATCCGATTTTTTTACTAACACAAAGCTGTCTGTATCCATGTACGCTCATCCGGACTAATGTGGCGGACGTCTGGTCCGGATTACGAAAAATCTGGACTATCGAGAGACGAGCAAATATACAGTACTGTTTATAGCCGTTTTTTTCAATTTTGTTCCAGGTCCACAGTAATGATATTCAGGCAAATGCACTTCCACCGGTAATAATTTTTACCGCCGAATTTTGTTCCAGGTCGACAGTAATGATATGCAGGCAAATGTACTTCCACCAGTACTAATTTTTACCCCCAAATTTAGTTACAGGTCCACATTAATGATAGCCGGGCATATGCACTTCCACCGGTAGTAATGTCTACCGCCGAATTTTGTTCCAGGTCCAAAGTAATGATAGGCGGGCATATGCACTTCCACCGGTAACAATTTTTACCACCGTGTTATCCGGTTAATCGGTCTTGTACATAAATACAGATAGCTTTGTGTTAGTAAGTAACAAACCCCTTGCTTATCTCTCTTTGTTATTCGTTCCAGGTCCACAGTACTGATAGCCGGGTATGTGAAACTCTACAGGTAAAATACCCTGTGTCTGTGTACAAGAAGATTATCTGTGTCCATACAGGGTGAATAAAAAAGTCGACTCCCCCATCTAATATTTTTCTAAGTTAGAACACACTACAGTCTTCTTGTACACAGACACAGGGTATTTTACCTTTAGCACCCGTCTATTAGTACTGTGGACTTGGACCGAATTTAAGGAAGATATTAACAAGAGGTGATTCAGACATAAATAAATTGGATGCTGCATGCAAAAACCACGATAGCATACTCAAGATCGAACTATAGTAAACTTAGGAGAAAGTTTTATTTTATGATTTTATAAAGTTTTAGTGTCCCCAAAAAATGAAGGATTATGGGCTCAACTGGAGATTACTCTATATATAAGATGTATTAATAATTAAACATTACCAATTTAATTTTAAACAGTATTATTTAAATTGGCATTCTGTTAATTACGTTTTTTTTAACCCGCCCTTATGACAGTGTGTATCTGGATCCGGAACCGAAATTTTCTTGGATCCGCCCATCACTATCATATATATTAATACGTGACAGGGTTCTTTTATTTCACGATTCTGAATCAAGCAATCGACGGATTTTCATGTCACTTAATAAGCGATGGCAGGAGTAGTATTAAGTTGCACATGGATAAACTTTGGGGACAATAGCACAAAGAATAAAACAAGATTACTCTATGGAAAGTTGTACGCATCATCCAATTTTTACAGCAGTCAGCTGTTGACACGCTAGGGCAAAGGCGAGCGCCGAGCGAGGACGGTGAAACAGCTGATTTCCTACCTAATGTTCCATAGTTAGTTGATAAATTGTCTGCCAGCCACTAACTTTACACAGGCATCAATCAGCAATCAGCGGTAGCACCAGTAGCCTATTACCATTGACTATATAAACACTAGTGTTAAAGTTTATATAGTCAATACTATTACCGAATTCGATACTATACATATTGTGACAGATCTATGAAATGGAGAAAAACTTAAGGTTAAAAAACGTATCTACTTGCTTGCATGACATATAACAGGTGAGATTGAAGGTTTTAAGACAATTGGGCACAGTTCTAGACGTTAGAAATGGCTTTGTAAAGTCACCAAACGGCTTTTAGGAGATATGGCTTCGTATTCTACAGTAGGCCTATGTTTTGAAATTCATGAACGCAAGTTCAACATAGTTTGATTTTTTAAATGGCTACTTACTCATGACAAAGACAAATAACAGGTGAAATGGGAGATTTTTGGACAGTTGGACACAGATATAGACATTAATAATGGCTTTAGAAAGTCAGTAAACAGCTTTTAGGAGGATATGGCCGTTTCCTACAATATATTTTGAGATTTACGAATGCAATCGTCATAGTTAGTCTAAAAAATGTCTGATTATTCCTGACAAATAAATCATAAAATTAATTGCACACAGTTCTAGACGTTAAAAATGGCTTCAGAAAGTTACCCAACGGCTTTTAGGAGGATACAGTGAAGATATGGCCGTAGTCTACAGTGTTTTTTAAAATTCATGAATGCAATCGTCATAGTTTAATTTTTTTAATTTGCTCATGACAAACAACAGGTAAAATGGGAGTTTATGGACAATTGGGCACAGTTTTAGGTGTTAAAAATGGCTTTAGAAAGTCACCAAACGGCTTTGAAAATTCCAAATTTTCCCGGGGAAGGACCCCCCTGCTTTATTGGTGGGTGCTCCACACCCCCCAAGCCCCCCCCCTTGACAAGGTCCTAGAACCGCCACTGGACTAATTTATACTATGTGTAATGCTTATCATTGATACGTTCAATTCAATTCTTCTGTAAGAAGATGGCAGATAAATTAAATATACATAGTAAAATGATGGGATCTTCAAATTATTTTTAAAGCAATCTTTGTAATCTTCGATTTGTTTTTAGTGCAATATAATTTGTTTTAACTAACAGCTGGTTAAATATAAAAATATTCTATAAATCTATGAGGTTATTTTATTTAGTCTATGATTTTGTCATTGATTATAGGAAATAAGTAAGATTAGTAGAGATAATTAGACCACAGAGATAAGTAAGACCATCATATGTAACTAAATGTATTGACACTATTGTAATTCTTAACGAATTAACTATAAAGAATATTGTATTGTATTGTATCATCATACAAACAATAATAAATAAGAACAGATGTTTATGAACCACTTATAGCCAGTAGTTTTGGAATGTACATATCAATCCTCCCCCTTGAATTTGGTCGGTAACTTGTGATTGACATGCCGTCTCCATATAGATCCATCATCCATTTTCAGAACATAAATTAATTTACCTTCCTTGCTTTTAACATAACCAAACATCCACTTGTTTTTACTTTGTCTGAAGTCATATGCTTGAGCTCTCTCCCCTTTTTTAAATTCCCTCACTACCTTTGCACATTTGAAGTAATTGTTCGAAGATGTGTTGTTTGTTGTCATTAAATCTAATCTTGTTCTCACATTGCTTTGAACCCCGAGTTTTTACCAACAAAAAGCTGTCTGTATCACTGTACAAAACCGATTTTTTACTGACACAAAAATCTGTCTGTATCACTGTACAACCCCGATTTTTTACCAACACAAAGCTGTCTGTATCACTGTACAACACCGATTTTTTAACTAACACAAAGCTATCTGTATCACTGCACAACCCCGAGTTTTTACCAACAAAAAGCTGTCTGTATCACTGTGCAACCCCGAGTTTTTACCAACACAAAGCTGTCTGTATCACTGTACAACACCGATTTGATTACTAAACACAAAGCTGTCTGTATCAATGTACAACACCGATTTTTTTACTAACACAAAGCTGTCTGTATCACTCTACAACCCCGATTTTTTACTAACACAAAAAGCTGTCTGTATCACTCTACAACCCCGAATGTTTTTACTAGCAAAAAGCTGTCTGTATCACTCTACAACCCCGAATGTTTTTACTAGCAAAAAGCTGTCTGTATCACTGTACAACACCGATTTTTTACTAACACAAAAAGCTGTATGTATCACTCTACAACCCCGATTTTTTACCAACACAAATCTGTACGATTTTGATAAAAATTTTAATATGTAATAGTCCTTTAAATTCTGATCAAAATTGTACTAATCCCATTTCCGTATATTTACTCTCACCGCTTACACATGATAAAGATTGTTGACATACTTATGGGAGAATGTATGTGTCAGAATGCTGATACCGTTTATTTTACTAACACAAAGCTGTCTGTATCCATATACAAGACCATAGTCAAGGCAAGGCCATGTCTCAATGTTTGCCTCTTGACGCAAATAACTTATATGGCAAGGCCATGTCTCAGCGTTTGTCTCTTGATGCAAATAACTTATATGGCAAGGCCATGACTCAGTGTTTGTCTTTTGATGCAAATAACTTATATGGCAAGGCCATGACTCAGTATTTGTCTCTTGATGCAAATATCTAATATGGCAAGGCCATGTCTCAGCGTTTGTCTCTTGATGCAAATAACTTATATGGCAAGGCCATGTCTCAGTGTTTGTCTCTTAATTCAAATACCGTAGGCCTAACTTATATGGCAAGGTCATGTCTTAGTGTTTGTCTCTTGGTGCAAATAACTTATATGGCAAGGCCATGACTCAGTATTTGTCTCTTGATGCAAATAACTTATATGGCAAGGCCATGTTTCAGTGTTTGTCTTATGATGCAAATAACTTATATGGCAAGGTCATGTCTCAGTGTTTGTCTCTTAATTCAAATACCGTAGGCCTAACTTATATGGCAAGGTCATGTCTTAGTGTTTGTCTCTTGATGCAAATAACTTATATGGCAAGGCCATGACTCAGTATTTGTCTCTTGATGCAAATATCTAATATGGCAAGGCCATGTCTCAGCGTTTGTCTCTTGATGCAAATAACTTATATGGCAAGGCCATGACTCAGTGTTTGTCTTTTGATGCAAATAACTTATATGGCAAGGCCATGACTCAGTATTTGTCTCTTGATGCAAATAACTTATATGGCAAGGCCATGTTTCAGTGTTTGTCTTTTGATGCAAATAACTTATATGGCAAGGCCATGTCTCAGTGTTTGTCTCTTAATTCAAATACCGTAGGCCTAACTTATATGGCAAGGTCATGTCTTAGTGTTTGTCTCTTGGTGCAAATAACTTATATGGCAAGGCCATGTTTCAGTGTTTGTCTCTTGATACAAATAAATAACATAATATGGCAATGGCATGTATCTTTCCGAACTGAATCCAACCCGATTTTTCGGATATCTTCACACCTCTAGTTTTTAGTTTTGTACCTGGATGATAAGCTAACGGCCTATAATTTTGTCTCAAAAATATCCCGTTAGTATTTTAATCTCACTCGATGCTTCGTGATAAAAAATAATAAAAGTATGATTTAAATTGGCATTCTGTTAATTGCGTTTTTTTTTAACCCGCCCTTATGACAGTGTGTATCTGGAACGAATTTTTCAAGATCCGGATCCGGATCCGGTACCGACATTTTCTTGGATCCGCCCATCACTACTCATAATCATTGTATCCAAGACTCTCAAGACTTTTTCCTTCTACCAAATATCGAATGATAGTTTTAATGGTAGGTTTTAAGGGTTAGTTTTGAGGGTAGTTTAAGGTTTTAAGGGTTTTAAGGTTTGGGGTTTTAAGGTTCTTCCTTCTGTGATTCATCTGCAATCTGTTATTTTGTTACTGGTAGCGTTTCCAACTGGTTGATTTGAAAAACAGAATAATCATCCATTGAGTTTGGTAGCGTCTTTTCATCTGGAAATCTTGACAAAAATCTGAGTTTCCGTGTTTTTCTGTTCCTCTAAATTCAACTTTATAGTCAAACCCTGAAAGGAAATGGGCGTAGTTCAAGATTCTAGTCGCTGCCATAGTAGAGTGTCTTTTGAGGATCGAATATGGACACAAGAGGCTTATGATCAGTTATCAATACAAACTTGCGTCCATAAATGTATGGGAAGAATTTCTTCATACCGAAATAAATAGCTGCTGCTTCTTTATCAATCTGGCTGTATTTTACTTCACTTTTTGTCAGAGTGCATGAAGCAAATGCAATCGGTTTCTCTGTACCATTTTCTAGTCTATGGGAAAGTACTGCTACGAGTCCAACAGGTGATGCATCCGTTGCAAGGGTAACCGTTAGATAGGGGTCAAAATTTGTTCACTTGTTATTTCCTCTTTGACTTTTTGAAAACTATTTTCACAATAGAGCTCCAGTTGAACTTAACATTTTTCGTAAGTAACCTTGTCAAAGGATATATTTTTGTTGAGTAATTTTGTATGAACTTGCTGTAGTAAGTGGCCAAGCCTAAAAACGTTTTTAATTCACTAACATTCGTAGGCCTTCTAGCATTTTGAATTGCTATAGTTTTCTCAGGACTTTTGTGTAGGCCTTTTTCATCAATAATGTGTCCCGAGGTATTTGATACTTTTTTCAAAAAACTTACATTTGTCTCTATTTAAACGATCTGAAAGTCGGACAAAGCTGGTGACGATACAGAGTAGTTGTTCTACTTTCAGGCCGTAGATATTAAGTATCCACATCGTGTTTGGGCTCTTTATTTTTGGAATTTCGTGTAGAACTCAAATTTATAAAGACAATTTTATTTTAACTTAAAACAAAAAAAGTTACAGATCTGTGGGACTGTGACAGTGGGTGAGTCAATGTTTGTCTCCGGCCAGCCCGACGAGCGGGTTGAGAGGGTGAGTTGAATTCCGAGAAGGTCCCTAATCCGCTGGGTATCATAGCCAAACGGACGGACTAGTGGCATAGACTAAGCAACACAAGGGAGTATGTTTTATCTATGCTAATGGGTAGTGCAAGTGCCAAGTGTGGTGTGAAGAACAAGATATGAATGAATGTCAGTGCAGTGTACGGCGCCGGCGGGCGGCGGGGTGGGCACAGTGGTAGTGGCAGCGGCTGACGTCAGGACGTGACGTGGAGGGAGGGGAACAGGGGAGTGAGAGCCGTAGAGCGCGCTATCTTGTAGCGAAGAAACGAACTAAGACCGAGCGCTGCGCTGTCTTTCGGAGGATCAGACCAACTAACTGAACCACCGATTCTGGCTCAGATCCACTCACTATGGCTGAGCCGTTGGAATAGGAAGTCTAGTGTAGATATAAAGTCAATGATAATATTTCAAGCTTCTATGTAGATTATAATGAATTGAAAACTAAAATTGTTAAAACTACTTGGAATGATGTGTTTGAAACATTAGATGTTAATAATGCTTATGAGCTGTTTTATGCCAAACTTTTAACTTTGATTGATAGCTGTACAATTTCTCGAATTAAACATTTAAAAAAATAAAAATATGCTAAAACCTCGGATGAATGCTGGTTTGTTCAAGGCTTTTACTGTTAGAAATAAATTATACAAGTTACACAAAAGAAATCCATCCCCAAAAAATAGAGATAATTTTTTTAGTTATCAGAACAAAATAAGAGATTGGATTAAGGTTGCAAAGTTTACATATTACAGTAAACTGTTTCATGATAATTTTAAGGATAGTAGGAAGCAATCGCGAGTAATAAACAGTATTATAAAAGGTCAAGGTTCAAAACATTCTGATATATTGCTTAAGAAAGAGGGCTCTCTTAGAAGTGATAGAGATGTAGCCAATATTTTTAATGAATATTTCATTCAAGTTCCTGAAAAAGTTGCAAGATCCCTCTCCTCAGTGTCAGTTAGTCTATTCCCAATTTTTTAAGACGGTGAATAGCTTAAATTCTATTTTTTTTTTGTCCCATCACTGAGCATGAAGTTGCAAAATTAATTAGAACTCTTTCCCCTCACAAAAGTACAGGTGATGAGTTCCTTTCTACAGCTATTATTCGAAATATATGTGACGAGATCACTCCAGTTTTAACAGAATTGTTCAATTGAAGTATTGCTAGCGGTTGTTTCCCTGACATCTTAAAAATTGCCAAAGTAGTTCCCATGTTTAAGAAAGGAGACAAGTGTAACGAAGAGAACTACCGTCCAATATCACTGCTTGCTGTGCTTTCAAAATTAAATTACTAGAAAAATCAGTTACAAATAGACTCACTGGATTTTTAGATAACAATAGATTTTTTGCTCATCAGTTTAACTCATCATTTCTGCCTTTTAGTGATCTTTAAAAGGGTCAGGCTAGGTAAGATCGAAATTGTGGTGGTATCACAGGACATCAAAGCGGAACTCCAAGACTTGGAAGTAGCAATTTTCTGATGTTGCAGTGTGTAGTCGACAGACTGCAGCCAGATTGGGTATGATTCCGATTCCTGGCTAAATTAAGATATTACCCGCTAGAAACTCAAGTGAAGGAGCACTAAGTCAGAAATTCAAGCATAGTTTAAGTTTTAAATCTTGCAATCACAGGGTCTGCAAAAATAGCGGAATCAAAAAAACGCAATGTCCTCTGTGACCGTGAAAGAACGATGGTGAAATAACGCTACTAGAAAACGTATGTTACAGGGTAACATACACATATGGCAACATATGCACATATGCACATATGTGCATATGCACATATGCACATATGGATTGATTAATAAACTGTTGATTTAGATGTATAAATATATTTGTATTTATTAGGTCTAAGTGTTAAGCGTTATATTACCTTAAAATGTGCTTTAGTTACATTAACCTTGTTCTCGTCTTGTTATATGTTGGAAAAACCAGCCTTCCTTAGTAGCCGAAATTTTGGCTATACGAAACAACCTCCTTCTATTTATTTAGGTTAAGAGAGATTCTTAAACTTAACACAGTTCTAGTACCTCTGCCACGGCCTCCCCCGCCGCTGGGACTTCTCCAGTAGTCTGGCCTCCTGGTGTAAGTGTTTCTGTTTTGAAACCTGACACCCCCTCTACCACGGGAAATCATGTTGTTGTGTCTCCCACTCAGAGACTGCACACTCTGGCTGCGAGACAAGTTTGTCATACTCTGACTGCGGCCTATCAGAAACAAACTACATCAATATCATCATTAAAAGTTGATAAATTTGTATAATTAGTCCCACATAATAACAATCATACATTTATTAGCCCTCAACTCTTAATATTGACGTGACAAACAATGCAAATTAAGGTTGAAAATTAACATTAATGAGTGTACCATTTTGCAGAATAAATTTATGAATGGCAGTTTACAAAACAAAATAAACAAAAATTGGTTAAGTTACAATAAAATTTACCTTAGCTAGGCCTACGTACAAACAATGAATACTTTAGTACTACTGAGCAAGACTACTGTTGTAGTTTCGAACAGCCGAATGTTTTGGGTTGTATTTTCCAAAATAGTACTTTGAAACAAAATTCATGGTAGTAAATGGTTTTCTTAGGCCTACTGAAGCAGTTTCCAACTGCCGAACATAAAGTTTACCAATATTTACTTATGATTAACTGTAAACCGGTATAAAATAAAAAATTATTACAATTAAAATGCACATTTTCCAAGATTGATAAAAATGTCGTATTTTGAAACTATGTTAAAGGTAGAAAATGGTTTTCTTAGGCCTACTGAGGCAGTTTCCAACTGCTTGTTATGTTGACATGATATATACTTGAACACATACAGACTGTAAATAGGCCTACTCCCGCCTTAGGCAGAATAAGCGAATTTCCATCTACCTGGCTGGATTTCTACTAGAATATTCCCTGAAAATTGTCAGATTTATTTCCTATTTAAATAACATTAATTTTAATGAGTACCTAGGTTTGTTGCTACAGGGAAGGTATTGAAGTGGGTTTTTGATTGAAATGTTGATAGCTTAGTATGAAATAAACAAAATTGCCAAATTTGATTCAAATATGTCCATAAACAAGCAAACTACAACAGTTTATTAGTCCTCCATAAAAATATCATGGGAATTTTAAATTTAAAGTTTTTTTTAATTACCTCCGTAACCGTTAGGCATACAACAACGGTTCAATATACAAAATTATTTCTTTTTTTAAGCTCTACAAAATGGTCTGGAAAGAAATTGTAAAATGTTATGATTTTAGAGTAAAAAATGGGAAAAACCAATTTTGATCCCATAAAACCTCCGTTCCCAATAGTCCGTTAATGCTGGTTTGTGAACTCATTCGAATAAACGTAGGTTTACCCGTTTGTAACAAATTTCATCAAAATCCGATAATTTTTTCTAGAGTTATTGCGCTAACGGACACACACACACACACACACACACACACACATATATATATATGAATTTTAAGTAGGGTGTGTTTGGCCTCTTTTGACCCCAAAATAAAAAAAAAAGTAAATCGGTCCCGGGTCTAGGTCTTATCATGAGACCTACAGTAATAGCTTATTCCCTATATGGGAAATACACTAAAATATAATATGTTCACTAACTCATATTGCCTCTACCGCCGCGAGTCCCGAGCCGCACCAGAGGAGAGCGACCAGTGGAGTTCCTCGGTCCCACTCTGCCTCTAAGACCCCCACGACCTCTGAGGCTCAGTCTGTCCTTGACACTGAGGCCGACCCGGGCTCCTGGCATCTGTCCTATGCGCTGCTGTCTCAGGATACGCTGTCAAACATTTATTACGTATCACTAAGTTAATCTAAAACGAAACTCCTAAGAAAATGTATTATGAAATTCACTGCATCTGTCAATTTATGTAGCCTACATAGCCTACAGCTACTAAGAGTTCATAGCCCTGACTTAATACGCACTGCACATGATTAATGTTACATTTTCGTATAATTATAAAATACAGTCTAGCCTTGATAGCCTATAACAAATTTCTTGATATAGGTAACATTTTTCTTTAATCCCCAAGAACTCTCCATAAGATACTATGTAAATTTTACCCCTACATAACTAAGAAAACATTTCTACAACCTATATTTTACAAATTTTTGACGATCCCAGCTAAAATAAGTCACCTCAAAATAATCAATTTATAATTTTCAAAACCTCTACTTAACACATTGTCTGTACATTTACTCTATAAAACAAGCCCACCAAATTAATGTTTTTGAATAATCACAGTGCTAGGATTAGGATAATTCTTTTATTAAAATAATCATCTGCTACATTTAACACAATAATCGTCTGCTGTTTTGAACATCTGTCTTTAGTGCTCAATGTCACAACAGACTTCATTAGCTGGGGACTGATGACGACGTAATGCAAGCACAGTTTACCAAGGTAAACTGTGATTGAGCGATAAGTAACTATGGTGACTGGTTAAATTTGAAGATGAAGAGAAATCTAAGAAAGAATTGATGAACAAATAAAAAGAATAGCAATATAGTTACCTTTATTTTCTTTTTACGTGTTTTTAATATTTTTAAGTGGGCTATGTTTCTAAACTTTTTCATGACTTTCCTATAGGCCCATCTGTTTTTTTCTTTTCAATGGGATTTGTTATAACCAGTGCTCGATTTGTAAAACACAAGGTACCGGAACTGTAGCCTATTTAATGTGATTAGTACCAATTTATGCCATATTTTTATCTTTCCAATAGAGAGGATAAAGTGCTGCGTTCCCCCGCAAATCGAGCACTGGTTAGAATGTCGGCCTTAGTCACTAACAAGACTACAAGATCGCGCCACTCATCCTACACTCATCTCCATTCATACTTGGCTTAAAATACCTACTTTGTTGAAAGTATTAAAGAATTAACTAAGGCTACACAAGTGCTAGTTGATTTTACTATTAACATTCCTCGTTAATAATTTACTTTATTAATATTAATACTTTCTTATGAAATGGTGACCATACAAAGTAAGTATTTTAAACCAAGTATGCATGGAGATGAGTGTAGAATGGGGTGCTATCTTGTAGTCTTGTTAGTGACTAAGGCCGACATATTTCTTATACGCAGCTGTTAACTTACAGCTAATGGCAACTAAGGGACCTACAGTTTATAATGGAATCTGAACCACATTTTTGCCTTGGTATTAACGAATTGGTCTAATTATCAAGATGGTACTATTCATAGTACTGTTCAATACTGTTACTAGTCATAGTACTCATTATTGCGGACGTTAATCTACACCAGGGAGTATCGCATCCACAGTGGACAGTGCATGCCTATAAATATTCACAATACCTCTTTTGTGCAAAAGCAAAATAACGAATAGAAATTCTAACAAATAGCAATATTGGTTAGTTTTTTCAGCTAACTTCGATCATATTCGTTAGTTTTTAAAAAGCACTGGAAATAACTTCTACTCAGATAGATTCTAGCTAACAAATAGATAATATATTCGTTAGTTTTGGAGTTTTAAATCGTTAGATTTTTGGTCATGCGGACAAAGCGGGGGGGGGGGGGGGAGGAAATCTAGTTGCTTTGGAATTGGGGGGGTGTGCAGTGGCAGACACTAACAACAACGAGATGTGGGAGGGGGGAATGTTTGTTTGGTGATTTGTCATCTCAAACATTGTCTTGTAAGTTGATGTTAATTTTCTGAGAAGCGTGAGAAGTTCCGATTCACCGTGGGGGGTATGGTTGAGGCTTCTTAACCTTCCAGAGGTCGCATCACGGAAGTAACCTCCGGGGATGTTTTATTTTTCGCGATTATATTATTTCTAGTGGTATCGGCAGTGTGAGTGTCACTGTACCTTACGCACCTCATTCCTAGAATAGAGTGAAGGTCAAAACTCACCCCTGCTATTTTATATTTTTTGTTAGTTTTGCAAGAGGCTGGAAGTAACTTCCGTGTGCGCTCTGCCGATTCTCGTACAGCCTGGAGGCAACTTCCGTGATGCGACCTCTAAGTTTATTGTGTGCATTGATTATTGCGTGTAAACTATTACTGTAAATAATTATTTTTTTACGATTCATGTCATTATTTAGTAAATATATAGTTTTTACAAGATTACAGAAGAAGTTAAATTTCGAATTGCAACACTCTTAGCCATGCTGAAAGGGAGATTCACGAACGACGTATGTACAGAGCCATTTAGTATTAAGATACCCATTATCTTAAATTACTTAAAACATCAGGTATTGAGAGTGTTATCAATTAAAACCACATTATAGAACATTGTGGTAAAATTTAAATTAACTTGTTGAATATATTCGTGTAAAAGATTTCTTCATATACTTTTATGTTAGAAAATTTGATAGAATAATAGTTTAATTTTATATTAATAAAATCTAAATTAAATTATTGTACAATTAAGAGTTCACTAAACATATTTTTGATGTTTAAAATTAAAAATAAAACTTAATTTGTATACTAAAATACAAATTTTACTTCATAAATGTTTGTTTTTATTGACCCGGAAGTAACCTCCGGGTGCGCCCTCTCCCGTTTTAAAAACCAATGCGCCCTCTGAAAGGTTAAAACTTAAAAAAATCATGGTTAATGAACAAAATACTAAATTATAGTAATTAACATGTTTATATTGCACTAAAACACAACTGAATGTTATATTTGCCAGAAATCACAATGAATAACACACATATTTGATCATAATGACACTCGTGAACACAAAAAAGATCTTATTGATGGATGTTAGCCACCGGATTACTGTATAATACTTAAAGTGGTTTAGATACCTGCATTTAAGTAATCCAATTCGTTGCTTATGTTGCAACCGGTTTCAACTCTGTGGAGTCATCTTCAGGCTTCCAAGGATATTTAAGTTGTCAGTTCGTATTATATTAGTTTTTTTTTTTTTTTTTAAACTATGATGACCTTCAAATGAAGTGACAACTTAAATATCCTTGGAAGCCTGAAGATGACTCCACAGAGTTGAAACCGGTTGCAACATAAGCAACGAATTGGATTACTTAAATGCAGGTATCCAAACCACTTTAAGTAAAAAAGAAGATCTGGTCTTTAAGATCAAATAAAATATTTACAAGATACAAACTACCGTGAATTTTGAAAATAATCTGTGACAGTTTTTTTGTTTTTGAACAAAGATTTATATGTTTTTTTTACTCTACAGTACTTTCATGTTTTGTTACACAATTTTGTCTGCAATAATTGGTGCATTGTATTGCGAAATGGGTTTGAGGGGAGGGACTATGACCTTGAATGGGCCTGGGCCTGGCTGGTGATTTATTATTTATTGGTATGTTTACATCCTAACTGCCCTTCCAACCCTGAAAGAGACACTGCGGTTTCAAAAACATTGACTTGTGTTGGTAATTAAGACCGTCTGTTTGCATTTAATTTTACTTATTTTTCCTGGAACGTGTCCTGGTTGAGTGTACATGCTTTAAGCTTTCTTAGTCGTTTTGTTATAGTTTAGTGGTGGTTAAATAATAGTTTTAATAAGTTATTAAGGTAATTAAATGTGACAATGTTTAATTATTAATAACACAATTAGTTAGGTACCAAGATTTCTTTACATATGAAATCCTTTAAAATAACTGCCCAACAAACAGCAAACTTCTCCAAAAACTGTAATTATTTTGTTATCAATTGCCTAGTTTTTTTTTTTTTTTTTTTTTTTTTTTAACTAACTAACTAATAGCCTAACTTCTATCAGTTACTTTTTACGGGACTAACTAATAGCTTATAACTAGTTAGAATATTTGACTAACTTTCCCAACTATGCAAAACTGGGACGGCTGGCGTCGTCCCGTAATCCAGCTACTAGGAGGTGACGAATTGTGGATATTAATAGGCATGCACTGTGGATGCGATACTCCCTGGTGAGTACTACGACTATCCGCAGTACTATTCCGATAATTAGACTAATTCGAATATACCAAAGGCAAAAATGGGGTTTGGATTCCACTATAAACTGTAGGTCCCTTAGTTGGCATTAGCTGTATGGGCTATTAATTAACAGCTGTGTCTATGGAATATGTCGGCCTTAGTCACCAACAAGACTACAAGATCGCGCCACTCATCCTACACTCATCTCCATTCATACTTGGCTTAAAATAACTACTTTGTATGATTGCCATTTCATTGAAAGGTATTAAAGTAAAGTATTAAAGTATAAAGCAGTACTGTTCCGCTGTTCCGTTTTGGCCTATCACGAGCAGTAGCTTACAAAACTCTCTACAGTTTTGTTTTGTTCTTTACGTGATTTATTGCTATACAGTGTTTGGTTCAATTTTAGGTGAGTTTGAGTAAGCTGTTGTGATTTTAAACGTTACAGTTTGTAAACTGAACCAAGGTCATTGACTTTAAATGTCATTTTTGCGCAATGGTATTAATGATTGTGAAAAATTGTATTATGTTGATAACAATGTAGATTGTGACATTGTGGAAATTGTTGTTTACACATTATTACAAAGTCATTATGGGTTTGTTTTTCTTACATACCATTTTTTTATGCGTGGTCTCCCTCCTCCTTAGTTCTTATTACCCCGGATAGTTGATGTTCTACTCTACGATGTCAATACTGTACTGTTAAGTATTGTAGTCTATGCTACTAATTGTTTTTAGGTTAAATCTCAACCTACATTAACCGATGCTGTTTCTGAACCGCGACATAGCGAAATCCCTGCAAATCTAACCTCTAATAAAACAAACCTTGTTTAAAAAAATCCATTATATAACGAATATTCTGTTCGGTCCCTTTTTGTTATTGAGGTTGGACTGCCATTGAATTGTAATTGAGTACGATCTCACTTTACCCTGGTAAATAGCTGAATTATTAAATGGCATTCCCTGCAAGAGAACAGTAGTAAAAGTGGGTCCCATTAACAAAATTTGTAGCAAAGTGATTATTGATTAAATACACTAGGTCATCAAGCAAGTAATTGAAATAACCTTATATAAAGAGGGATAAATTGACTGAACTATACCAAACACCTGAACTGAACTATACAAAATTTAAACTGAAATACTATAATGTATGGTCACATTTCCTTCTGGTCTAACGATTTTATATACAGCGGAAACTCGATAACTAGACCCTTGATAAAAAGGGTGATTTTCAAATCCCCTAGAATTTATATTATAGAAATTATTTATGTTATTGCAAACTTAAATAAGAAGTCAATCATGGAAACGACAAGTCTTATCTAGTAATCTCCTTTATAGAGTCTTTTATCAAGCTTCTACTATATTGTAAAAATTAAAGCTATGACAATGATTATGGCTATGACTACCTTCTTGAGCTTGAGAGCAGCCACAACAGTTGGCCGACGGTCCATCATCTGTGCCAGTCGTCGGTTCTTGAGAGACGATTGTTGATCACTGAACAATCCTTGCCTGACAGACGCAACGTGCACCGACCCTGACGGTTCTGTAGCACTCTGGCTACGTAGGAATGTGAAGCTGCCGCAACATCCAACCAACAAATCATCATCCCATCCCCCTCACGAGTCCAATACCAAGCCCCAACCAGCATACTTATACAGACCACGTTTCTAATGACTATTGTGTAAATACCAAATAGGCTTATAACTGCTTCGGAACAGGTTTTGATTCCACTGTCAGTTTCAGTAGATATACTTTTTTTTTGTCCATTATACTTTTTCCGAGTAGCCTACATTCCTCTTGTAATCTCCATTACAAACTGTTTCTGACAATATTTTTCTTTTTAACCAGTTTTATACTGAAATTAATAACCATTTAGGTTCACCTAATTTAAAATCAATAATTTTTTCATCAATTTTTATTTTTGGTGATAAGCGTTTATTACATAGTCTGCTTAGTAATCAAGCAGAACAGTTATCAACTAGTAATTCTTCCTCATTGAAATCAGTCTCATTAATGGAAGGAATTCTTCCAGAGAATCATTGGTGTAGCATTGTACATTTGATTATAATTCAAGGCATTTGTTTCATGCTCTCAAAAACAAGAGCGTGCTTTGGACGTGTCATTCAATTTTTCTTGTGTCACCCTTAATGACAGTTGTGCTCAAACATTTTTAGGTGATGCAGCAGGTCTATAATTTTTCTCAAATACATTCCAGTGAACACTAATGTCAGTTATTAAAAAAAATATTTTAGTTGGAGCATCATGCTAATATTTCTTGCCTCATATTATCAAACAACGTATTGAATGCAATATGAAAAATGTACAGAGGCTTTGAGTCATACAAGGTAAGTATTCATGTCATTATATTTTGAACTTGTATGGTTGTTCCATAATCTGCATCCATAAGGAAACATTTTCAATAATTTTATGATAACAGTTTGCATTAAATTAATAGGCTATATGTTTCTGAAACAACTTACTTTTTGGCATACAACACAATGAGGCCAAGTGAAGTATTATTTTATTGTGCTGCTTAACACTTGCTTCTTATACTCTTATCATGTGTGTACATGTTATACACATTGTGATATTACTCTCTAATTGGTATATGTCACAATTTATAGCCTATATTTATGTAGTAATGCACAAGTTAAAATTGAAATTTCATTGAACATACAACATGAAATTCATATCCACTCCTTTAGCAAAAGCTCTTCTCATATTTGTTGGACATCATTCCTAATTTTGCAAACTTCATTACATACTTTGTTAAATAAGATGTATAGGTTCTATACATTAAATATGATTTTAATGTCAATTAACATTCTGCTATTTACTCATACAAAATTCTGCTCAATATAATAAAAACAGTGGTCTGTGTTTAAAAATGCTTGGTTTTGGGAAAAAGATTACATTTGCACTCTAATTTAGTAACTGAATACTAATCATGCAGACCATAGACTTGACTGTTGAACAGTAAGGACCAGTTACACAATCAAGCTCATTGGCAGGCCTACACTACGGATTATGCAACAGGCTGAGAACTGTTGACTGCCTCAGTGTTGTCAAATGTATCTCATACTGTCCTCAGAAACTTCACACCAAAACAATGCTGAATATCACCAGTTGTTTCCTGTTTGTTCAACCTGTATATTACAGGAAAGACTTAACAAGTTAAAAATCAATTTGCAGCTCATAAAATCCGTTGGGTAATCTTGAGCACTTTTACTTTTTTATAGCCTAATACAACGAACATTCTTTTTAAGTAAATTTATGGAATATATTTTGAAAAAACCAATTGAACATATTCCGGAGTCACTGTATGCCCCTAAACAATGTCTTTAAAATTTAACTCATATAAAGTTTGTAGGCCTATCCTGTTTTAGAAGGTTTTAAAAGGCTTAAATACTGAGGCTTTTTAAAAAAAGCAATTGCAAACTTTATTCTTAGAAAAGATTAACTTGATTGGCCAATTTGTTTTCAGGTAATTTTTTATAACAACCAAAAATGCTACGTTGACTTAATTCTTGGAAAAGACAACCTTTAAATTAAGTCAAGACACTACAACAATCCTAAACCTATTTCTTTCAGTTGGCCCCTACTTTAGAAAATACATCTAGCCTATCCAAAAAGGCAGAATATTTAACGAATAAAGTCGGATATCAAGCTTGAGATGGTGTCAGTTTCAAATATATCCGAACCGAGTCGAATCTAACATTTTTTGGATACCCACACACCTCTTTTTATAATGACTAAAGTAAATGATGTACATGTATTTTCCTATGTTTTAGCACAAAAAGACAATAAGACATTTGGTAGTTTAGTAACAAATTCGAACGGGAAGATATACCTTTACTACCAAGTTAAATATTTCAACTCTGTGGGACAGGAGAACCTTGAATTTTTGGAGATGTAAAACATCATTCCTTCAGAAATGAGATGGGTAAGTAAATTTGGTGATAAATGGTTAATATGTAAAAAATGAGCGAATAACTAATTTGTAGTCATACTTTAAGTTTTGAAGCGCGAATTTAAAATTTATCTTAGGCATAATCAACTGTAATTTTTATAGAAACATCTTGCTTATGAAAATTAATATTAGCATAACTGCCCAAACTACATGTTAAAAACATAAATTATCATAATTTTTGTGGGTCTTGTTGATTGCTTTCTTGCACTTTAGGCTATAAAATTCGTGGATAGCCTATAGACGTAGTAAGGTTTGATAAAACCTTTAAAAAAACATTCTAGACATGGGTTTAGCTCCAAGAAGTTAAAATTTTGATGTGATTTTCTCCTGTGATTTTTGTATACCAGAATAATGCTGCTTCATGATTCTCCTCTATCAAGCAAAACATTTCTACTTAAATATTTCTTGGTGGTGCTGCATTAACTTAATGTTTTAATGAGTTAATTACCAGGCATTTTAGGAATAATCATCATTTTGGCTAAACTTTGAAGGATTTCACATCATTTGGTCACTGAAAATTAGCTTGATCTTTTATTGGGTAACAACATCAATAATCCTTCTATTGCTTTAAGTGAGCTTGATAATAAGGCGTTTCTGGGCTTTATTGTTTATAACTTTCTATTCGAGTTAAAACCATGATGATGTTAGGTTCGTTGATGGCATGCATCAATTTCCTCAGGACAAGCCATCAGTAACATAAACCACTCAGATTTCAATATGTTTTTGGGCAGTTAATTATTTGGACTCATGTTTGTGAGGGGGGAAATAATTTTTCTCACCGTTCATGAAGAGACATCCGAGTGGAACTTTTCATTATAATTTTCTTTAATGACATCGTGGCTTGATGGGTCTCCTGAAAAAGAGGGAAAAAATTCAGTATGCATAGAATAGTTTCAACTTAAGGCAAAAACGCACAAGAACTTAGCCTGATTCAAATCAACCCACTGCTTTCCTCACAGTTAAATAAATAAATAAGGTCTTTCTTTATGAGCGAATTTCAGTAACAAAACAGTTTTACAAATACTCAAGTCAGGACCTAGACTAAACAAAAATTCTTAACACTACGAAACAAAATAAGATTAATTAGAAATTTTTTAGGCGATTCTTAACATTTTTTATAAGACAGTGCTTTTAGTGTGCAAGGAAGTGCATTGTACTGATTTTTACAGGACTGCCTCAATATCAAACCCCATGCCGTACATCCCACATCTCAACTTATCACTTGTCAAGACACATTTTGTCCCGCTGTCAGTTTTTAAGCATCTTACTAATATTATAAATCTGAAAGTTTGTGAGTTTGTGTGTGTGTGTGTGTGTTTGTGTGTGTGTTGCTCAATCACGCATAAACTACTGGACGGATTGGGCTGAAATTTGGCATGATGATAGCTCACATTCCCGATTAACATTAAAGCATATTCCATCTCAAAAATCCTTTCGGGCTCCGCCCCAGTGGCTCTGTAGTTCCCCATGTTAACCTTATGATTTTTCATATTTAAAAGGAATTAATGAATCTTAACAGCTGTTTCAATTAAACAAGTTGGTTCTGTTCTATGATGTTCAATAGCATAAAAGTTACAAAGATTACCAACAGGGTGCAGCACTATTTTTTTTTATTTAAAAAAACAACAGTTAAAAACTTCAACCTGGAGGCAAGTTAGCGTAGCGAACGAGCTAACCTGAAGGCAAGTGAGCGCAGCAAACGAGCTCCAACCTAAAGGTGAGTGAGCGTAGCGAACGAACTTCATCCAGGACGTGAATGAGCCATGCGAATACTTATGAAGTTAAACGGGGCAAAGCCCGCGGGTACAGCTAGTATTTATATAAACATACAAAAATTACAGTTAGCTCCCAGTAATTGGGCATGTCCCCCCCCCATACAAAAATTACAGTTAGCTCCCAGTAATTGGGCATGTCCCCCCCCCCCCAAACAAAAAATAATAATAATAATAATTTAGCCTAGCAGTATAATAGTAAAGCAACAACTTGAAAACTATCAATATTTAAATAGGATTCATATGTAAGGATTCATATGTAAAGTGATAATAATTATCTATAGCTCGGCCGCTTAGAAAACGACCTGCGCGCTAATGCTAAACCAATGCTAGAGGAGGTCGTTTTCTAAGCGGCCGAACTATAGTACCTATACTGTGGGATTAGAAACTTGCTTTGTAGGTTTTTGATTGTTTTGTGAGTTAGAACGTCTAGGCTCCAAGGACTCATTTAATGAGAAATTTCAGCGAATGAGTTTCAGTAATGTGGCATAATTCTTTGGGTTTTAATTCCTAGGGATACTAATCAACACTAATACCTAAAAATATTAACAAAAAATAATAGTTATAGAATCATATTACATAATACATATTTACATCAAATTGAATGGTTGAATGGTTAAAGAAACAAACTAAAAAGACGATTCATTCTAATATCAGGACTAAAAATAACATACAAACTATGGCCTATTAAAATTCCATTAGTAAAATATTTGCAGGGCTAAATTTTGTTACAAAATGGAGATTACACCACATTTGCAGTATGTTGCTGTGTAAAAACGTAAAATCTGTGATCGCAGCACACAAGTGTAACCTAAAGCTCATGAAATTTACTAATAAATGTATTATTAAATACGGTAATTGTTTACGGTGAATTTCAGAAACCTTCATATGTATCCACTATTTGCACATCTTACATAGTGGTGTTTCAGTTTGTTTCACCTCCAGTGTGAATCTATTGTTTTACTTGTATGATAAGCTAACATATTTCTTTTACGTCTTATCAATTGGCGAATATTACGTCGATGAAGAGGGTTTTCATTCCCATATAGGGTATCTGAATATTACCATAGGTCTTATGGTAAGACCTGGACCCACTGATTTAATTTTTTGTTTTTATGTCCAAAAGGCCGAAAAGACCATCAGTTCAAATTCATGTATATAGGCTATGTCCTTTAGCATGATAACTCGAGCAAAAATAATCCGATTTTGATTACATTTGGTATGAACGTGTAAACCTACATTTATTCGAACGAGTTTACTAACCAGCACGATCGGACCATTAGATCGGGGTTTATATGATAAAAGTATAAAATTTTGCAATTTCTTTTGAAACCAGCTTTAATGGTTTAAAGACAAATAATTTAGTACATTGAAGCGTTATTAAGTGGATGAATGAATGAATGGTTAAAGAAAAAGTTCCAAAAGATTTTAATTTTAAAGTTCCTATGTTATTCTTATGGAGAATATATAAACTGATGTAACTTCATGTAAAAGGAACATATTTTTGATTAAATTTGGAAATGCATTTATTTTACACCTAACTACTGACATTTCACAAAAACACTTTTTACCCTACCTCTTGCAGCAAACCTATTGTTATAAAATGTAATATTGGTATATAATTCAATATTATCCTCTTTGCAAAGATATGACTTGTATTTCAGATATATTAACAGATGTTTAACTATGATAATTTAAAAGAAACATGAATGTAAACATTGTGTGTTGAAAAAGAAATAGTAAATTTGTTCCAACTAACTTGAGACTGATTTTATTTAACTTTTTAGAAAATTGGTTCATATTTGAAGTTAGTTTACATTTTTGGCGACCCTTCGACAGGATTATTAGAAGAATAAATTATTTTGAAGTATTAATTATTGTATAAAACCTGAAGGTCAATTAATAAAAAATGGCAGATGACCTAATACGTTTAAACAGGATGAGAAGACAGCTTCGGCGACAATTTTTGAAAGCACATAATAATTTTGAAAATGTTTTAAAAGAAGATTTGACAAAAGAAGAACTCCTGGTAGCCATTGAAACACAATATTTAAGTATGGAGGCGACATGTGACAATCTCTTCACTATGGATGAACAGATACAAGACTTGATGCTAGGCGAGAACACTTCTGACGCTGACCTGGACGCAGAGTACGACGCTTTGTTAGAGTTTCGAGACAAGTGGTTCAACATGAAGGCCCAATACAAAAACCTGGTAAAAACCTCTCCCTGCAGCGACCGAGGTGAGTTGAACCCCTCTAAACATGAAACCAAAATTCGTTTACCAAAAATTGAACTAAAGAAATTTGACGGGCAGTTCAAAAATTGGATTGGATTTTGGTCACAGTTTTCGAAAATCCATAATGATCAGAGTCTGCGTGATGAGGATAAATTCGAATATTTAATTCAATCAATGACACCAGGTTCCGCGGCTCTAAAACTGATCGAGGGTTTTCCTTTGTCTCAGGAAAACTATTATAAAGCAATCGAGCTCTTGAAATCTCGATTTTGCAAAGACGAATTACTAATCGAGTATTATGTAAGGGAGCTGTTGACCTTAGTGTTAAGTAAAAGTAGCCAGGTGTCTGTCACTAACCTCTATGATAGACTTGAAGTGCAGCTGCGGGCTCTTGAAACTTTGGGCGTCACTAAGGAAAAATATGCCGCTATGTTATTCCCTCTTGTCGAAACTTCAATACCAGAGAATATTTTTAAAGTTTGGGAAAGGTATCGAGTAGGCAAAAATGTGACCACAATGGAGCCTGGTAATTGCTTACGAGAGCTATTGTTGTTCCTAAAGACGGAAGTCGAGGCAGAGGAGAGATTTAAGTTGAGAGAAGGATGTTTTGGGGTAGTTAGTAGTGAAAATAACAAGGTAAATGAAGATTCACAGAAACAACGAACTGGTAAGCCTAAGACACCTTCAGCAGCAGTTCTGGTATCGTCTGATGGACATCAGGATCCTAAAATGAGCACAGATATGTACCCTAATAAGAATCTTTGCGCATTTTGTGGAAAATCAACTCACAATTCATCTGATTGTTTTTCCATCTTTGATAAGACAACCTCAGAAAGAACCGAGATTGCAAAGAAAAAGGGGTTGTGTCTTAAATGTTTGAAGAAGGGACACTTAGCAAGTAAGTGCAGGATTCAGGTAAAATGTCACATCTGTATGGGTAAACATCTGGCAATCTTATGTCAAAAGATCCCTACCACTAATGAATCCAAGCCGAGTGGTGAGGACAAGTCAAAACAAACTCCGGTTCAAAGTACTAGTTCATTTTCGACTTTGAACAACAAAAGTAAAACTACCTATTTACAAACTTTGTATGCCTTTGTTAATGTAAATGGGGAACCGAAAAGGGTTAGAATCTTATGTGACTCAGGTTCACAGAAAAGCTTCATTTCTAGTCTCTGTGTATCTAAATTAAGTCTCTCAAGCAATGGTAAAGTTCTGATCCAGCAAGAAGTCTTTGGAGGTAAACAAACCGGTCCTAAATATCATAACACCTATGAATTAAATTTGAGCTCAATAAATGAGAACTTTCGGATAAGTGTCAACGTTGTAGAACAACATGTTATATGTAATCATGTTCCTAAGTTTTGTGATTACAGCTTGATCACTCGTTTAGAGAAAGAAAACATATTTCTGACTGATGTTTCTTCTTGTGACGGCGATGACTTCACTGGTATTGATGTCTTATTAGGAGCTGACGTTTGGACACAGATCATCACTCCAGAGTTTCATAAGGTAAATGAGCAACTTGTAGCTGTAAAAACTCGATTGGGCTGGACAATTGTTGGCACGTCTGATGAGGAATCTTCTTTCGTCTCCTCCATGTTTGTGGCTTTCCAATCTTCACAAGATATTAGGCAATTTTGGGAACTAGAGACAATGGGTATAATGGATCCGAGTGTCAAGCAACAGAAAGAGGAGAGAGATAGAGATGTTTTAGCGTTCTTCAAAGACACTGTCGCCAGAGATGTGGATGGACGCTACGAGGTAAAACTACCTTGGATTGAAGACCACCCCCCTCTGGATAGGAACCGTGAAGTAGCCAAAAAACGTCTGTTGTCAACA